GCTGCAGGGAGGTGACTTTGTCTGCAGCCAATATGTGACTCTCAGTGAGACACGATATGAGCATCCTCCCTTTGTGTCAACATGAATCACTGCGCCTGAGAAATGCAGCAGTTGTAAACAGTTTATGGAGTTGCATGTATTCTTTTTTTCTTCCCCTCTGCATAGATTATACGGCCGTAATTGTACCTATTGTGTTGCATGATTGAAAAGCAAGCACGGGGAAATATATAATGCACAGACATGCTGTTGGATTTTCCATCTGCGGCCTAATCAAAGCTGAATTATAGAACACTCAAACTCCAAACAACCTTTTTGCTCTAAATATTTCAAATGGATGTGAGCGGGCCGACGTGATCGGCAGAGTAACGATGTTTGTTAGGCGGCCCGGCGAAGACGCATCAGTATCCATCTGCCCTGTGCTCGTTTTGAATAAATGGAGGCAGGATGACTCATACTGGCAGCGATGTGGAGTGGCGTGTGGGTAAAGATAAAAAAGAAAATTTCATCATGCCGGCTAAACGTGGTTCCACCGCCTCAGTTTTTTTAAATCAATGGAGTCAAACTCAATCAATCAGGCTGAATGTCTTTAAGTCTGTTTCGCTCTGAAGCCTAAATGACAGAGTTATGTTGGAGAAAGAGTCACCCACTCACTGTATTCATGCTATAAGTATATTTGGGCACTGGTTGCATCAAAAGTGGTCAAACCAGAGTTAGTGGGTTTAATGTCAATCAAAAGGATGTGTTGAAAATAGCTCTGCCTTTGTTTCAGTGAATATTATAGTGTTTGTTAGAAACAGATGAAGCCACTTGACGTCGCTCATTGGTTCATGACATTTTGAAGCCTTAAGTTTTGACTCTTTAGCCATGCCATCTCAGTTTAAGAGCCAAACAAATTTTTAACAAAAAGGGTGGACATTTAATGTGTCTAATTTTGGCAGTGACATCTTTTGAAGGACTCTGCCTTCACTGCCTGCATAGGCTTCTCAGGCCAAACTGAAATAATCTCTGATCTCTAGAGAATTCCTGTTTGCGTCACCAGCTTTCCCCTCCCTTTCCCTTTGGTTTCTAAATGCTGCCCCTGTCGTCTAGCAAACTCAACAGCTGCAAGAACTAGCTATAAATAATGTAACTTAACTTAACCTATTATTTCGAAGCTCAGTTTAAGTTTCAAAATGCCCCTTTTTATAACATTAATGGCCACTTGAGAGTCCGTTGGCTTGTTTGAATCGTTTGCATATGTTGGGCTATGCAGGATCACTGGATGGATCCATCATTTGACAGGGAAAGGAAGACTCAAATGTTGGCTGAATTTGAAGGAGCCTGTGAAATGGGACAGCCTTCAACGTGCCGCAGTGACGTATTCAGTCTTCAAATGCGCCCTTGGTAGGTTGCAGCTCCTAAATAGGATCATAGCCATGTATTGCTACTTTCTCGATCCCCTTTTTGCTTTGGTAGCAATTTGTGTGCGCAATCATTTTCTAAATGGGAACATACTTCACAAAATGAACAACATGCTGTATCGAAGGAGACTTTCATCTACCTATTGAGTCAACAAAGTTTTCTGAAATGTTTACTGGGGTAATAAACCATGTCAGAAATCAGTGTCATTTCCTAACGTACCAACACAATCAGACATTTACCTGCAACTAATGGATACGCCACCTTTTGGCAAATGGAAATAATGCAAGTTGAAGACTCAATGCATTGGTTAACTGTTTAAACCAAGAGGCTATGTCCTCTATAATAAAGATTCTTTGATAAATCCTTACATTTGATTGGCCTTACAGGAATGACATTGGATACTTATCCCCACTCTAAATAAATACACTGGTGTTGCCCGATACTATCTAAGATAAATTGAGTTTTGAGTCATGTTAGCCACATCTTTGCATGTAACCAAGAAAGTTAAGTAATGACTTGTGAAAATCATTGTTTGGTCTTTCTTTTGGCTATGTACCATATCTCAATTTCTTCTCTGAACTCTGGATAATTAGACTCCTTTTTGGCATAATCCCTTCCTTTGAAAAATCATACTTACTTGACATCCACAACGTCTTTTTTTTTCAATCTTATTACGTGTATGTGGTTCTTGGCATCCTTTAGCAGGAAAACACTTGGTCGAACATGTACGCTTTTTGTGCCATCTTGAGTAAACTTTCCCGTCACCGACCTGTCTGCGGGTGTTCACTGAACAATCAGAGCTGTGTGCAGAGGGGAGAGGGTGCAGTCGTGGAGAAAGGAAGAGCAAATGAAAGTAGATTTTTTGGTATAAACTGTGGGTGCAGTAGGGTTTGAGTCACACAACAGGAAATGAAAAGACGGTTCTTTTGATATGTGCCCAGAGTGCTGAGATGTGTCTTTCTCTGTGTATGAGGGCTGAGGTTCATTATCTTCATTATCTAGTATCCACTGCCTGCCTGTCATATGGGATGATGATATACACCCTTCAGGCTTTTGGCTCTACAGCGCATGAGAGAACAGCAGAGTGATGTGTGGTTGTTGGAACAATCCTTTACTGTTCCTTTATAAAATCTAAAATCTAAATAATGCTTTTGAACCTACTCTTCTGTGGGTTCATATACGGTCGATTTTAAACTGAAAAGTAACATTCCCGATTCTGCAAGGAATACAGAAAGTGTTTACTGTAACAAGACTATCCATTTGCAAAGTCAGCCACATGTAAGTGGGGCACGCAGCGAGTGGAGGTTATTCCTCAGTAATTGGTGGGCTGCACACTGAGCACAAAGTAGAAAGCTTGAAATTGCACTTGCAGCATCTCCGCCATGCAGGCAGATGGCAAAGTAAAGATAGCAAAGTTACCATCTTGTCCTTAACCCTCAGTCACGCACATGTCCTGGATCCCTGAGAAACTGTCTCCGAGGTCTTGAAGATTCAGTTTTTAGTGAAATAACTTGTACAAGTAGAATGGGGGAAAAAAAAAAAAAAAGCACTAAACTTGAAAAAAAAAACTACCAGCTTTTTGTTCCTAAAATGTGCCACTCCGCTCCGCTGTCCTCTCAGCCTTCAAGGTGAAACACAGCCCTCTCACACAGGAAGAAAGTAAATATAATAGAGTGAAATATCATTGCCATGGAAACAAGCCCTTCCGGCGCTAGTACAGAACTATGAAGTTGGTAGAAGGGTTGAAAGAATCACTAAGTTTTTTCCTTTGCAGCTCTCACATGTTGCTTCATTTTAGGGCTTGTTTCTCTCAAGTGTGTTGTTCTTATATGCTGATATGTTTAGTGACTTAATGCAGCACCTTTTCTAACAAAATCTTTCTAATCTGTGAGTGAACTGTATGGTTGTATAACTGACAAAACTGTAAGGGAGGGCTCAAGGTTTGGGTAGCTTTTGAGCACAATAAAGGCCACTGGGGGAACTTTACCAATCCCTACACCTCCCCTTAAACCTCTCCCCACAATCCTTGAACTGCCCAACCCCGTCTCCCTCTGAGTCACTCTGATTTACCTCATCAAATGTACAAAGAGCCAGAGTCATGATTTTATGCTGGTGATGTTGGCATTTCTTTGGTCGTGTCTTTGCTGTTACCTTCCCCCTTTTTCTCCCCCAAAGATTTGCCATGAACTAATCCCACCCTGATATGTTTTTTCAAATGTTTCCTTGACTGTTGACCCCGTCTTCTAGACTTAAGAAAAATGCTTTATGAAATCAATGTAGTGTGTAAACAAGCTGTTGTAGGTATTCTAACATCTACCAATATGCTTAGCTCTTTAAACGTAATTGCAGTTTTTCTAATCCTACTTGTACATTGTTTGAGGTCTAAATTACCAATGGGAACAGCTATCCAAAGTTTTCTGGACTCATCAGTAATTTATACCTCAAAATATTAAAGAGATAGGATCCTGGATTCTAAAAAAAGAACTGAATTGTCCTTTAACTCCAGATGCTCCTAAATGGCTTCTACCTTTGACAGATGATGTTAATGTATACCCAATGAGCTTTACTTAATATGGATGTTCATTTCACAGTGGGATAAAATCAGATTACATATCTGAAGCTTGTCAACACATTTTGGCTCATTAAGACAATTTCTTTTAATGTTCACTTGTGTTAACGGCTGCTTAAGGAGAACATCATTGCCCAGTGTTTATGTGTGCTGTTTGGGAGGGAAGTGGGCATCAGGGAGTAGTAGTGTTTAATGTTCTCTCTCAGTGTACTGAAATTTTAGTTTAGAAATGAGGGGCATCCGTTTCCTGCAGCAGCTTCTAAGAATTTGCATATGGATAAAGCTAATCAGAATTTAGCAATAGAAGCCACCATGCTCATGGGGAGGGAATGGGATTGTGCCCATTTTTCAAGAGAATGTAGAGGGGGGAATTATTAATCCAACAATATATATATTTACAATCTGATTATTTTTCACCCAGTAAAGAAACAAAAGGAAAGGAGGTACAGAAGGGGGGGAAAGTTGTTTATCAATATCCAAGAACAATCTTACACAGCTTTCTTTTTGTAATTTTTTTTTTCATGCAAAAATCATGCGGCCAATTTGTTGATGTAAGTGACCTGAACCTCGTGGTTTGCTATCTTATTTAACCAATCACAGCAGAAAGAAACATCTGAGCGTCAGAGCAGTCAGCTTAGGAATGGCTAGACAGTTAGCAGTGAAGGTGAAGGCTAGGCTGTGTAGTACGATACATGTTAAATTGTTCAGTGTAATTTGTAGTCTACTTTTATCTTGTGTTAGTAATATATCTTGTAGGTGTAGGTCAGAGCAGTCAGAAGCAGGTGCAGGATACAGTATGTTCTTACAGCTTGTATTTTAGTTCAGTTCAGAGTTAGTCAGCATTTTAACTTTTTAAATAGAACAGACTAACTAAACTTATATAACTAACCTCATGTAAAGTTTTAGTGCTGTTCTAATTCTGGTGTTGCTGTATTAATTTGAACTGTTTTTCTTTTGTTGATTTGGAGGTCGACTCTTTCTCAGGTGGTCTCTAACACTCTTTTCCTTCGTTTTCTCTTTCTTGTCCTAGGAGGTGAATTAGTGTTGCCCATTATTACCGTGGACTCCCTAGACCCCCCATCCATCGCTACCCACTACCCAGTAATCCCCCCACCCCCTACCACCTACCGCCCTTTCCTCACCCTGCTCGAAACCACCAAAGAGCCCCTCCCATTGCCCAACGGCCGGCCCCCCTGCCCCTTGGACCAGGAGGACTGCGAGGAGACCATCGAGGTGTCGGCCTACGGCTCGGGGGAGATGACCGAGTCTGATGACGAGGACTATTACAAAAACTCCCCCTTGGTCACCGACAGGACTGTCCTCCCTCCTCCCCCAGCTGTTGAGGGTGGCGTCCAGAACCCTCGAGACCGCCATTTCTCCCGCATCCCCAACTCCCACCGCCCTCCTTTATCCTCTACCCCCACAGCCAATCCAGACCAACTCGGCCCACGAATCAAGCCACCCGCCGGCGGTAGCAGCAGTAGCAACAATATCCCCGCCGGGAAAATGAACACCCGGGACCAGGTGCTGCTGCCGCCAGCACACCCCTCGTCCGATCCAGGCCACCGCAGAATCCCCGGAATAACATACCCTCCAAATTTCCCCCATGTTCCCACTCCAGACCCCACGTCTCCAGAGAGAGGACTCCCAGGTGCCGTGGAGGTGCAGCAGTCCAGCAGCACTACAGGAATGGTCGTTGGCATCGTGGCGGCAGCCGCCCTCTGCATCCTCATCCTGCTCTACGCCATGTACAAGTACCGCAACCGCGACGAGGGCTCCTACCAAGTGGACCAGAGCCGCAACTACATTAGCAACTCGGCCACACAGAGCAACGGAGCCCTGGTGAAAGAGAAACAGCCCACCACTGCCAAGACGGTCACCAAGAACAAGAAGAACAAAGACAAAGAGTACTACGTCTGAGAGAGCGCCGCCGTGACACCACAGAGACAGACAACAGACGCACTAAGAGAAGGAAAGAGGAGAGAGAGAATGAGAGAGAGAGGGAAAATAGAGGGCAATTCATTTAAAAATCAGTATTGTCAGGCGGCCATACCTTGTTTCCACTTCCTGGCTTATCAGAGTGAGGCAGGAAAATGAGCAACAGATTGGTTCCATACACACCTTTTAGCATCGCTGTGATTGATTTGGCTTCTCATTAAAAGGTAAATGTGGTGTGGATATAAAGAAAGGCTATTACACCTCAGATCTCAACACATACTGTGCCAACAACTGTGTACCTGATAAAACAGTGATTTATGGATCAGTTATTTAATATCTTGAGTACTGTAAGAAAGCACCATCATCAGTATTTGTGTCAAGGTCGGTACATCACGCTGAGGTGAGCTTGTGGTGAAGACCATCAACAAACAGAGTATCAACTTTTTATTTCAATTAGCAACTTGACATCCCTCCGTTTAAAATCAATAATACTGCCAGCTTACAGAAACACTCTCTCACCTCTCGTCAAATCTCTCTCTCTCTTCCTCTCATTGGCCCGCGCACTCTGTTTCTCTCTTTGTCTACGGTGCTCAGCAGCCGGTGCAACGTAAACTCTGCCGTGTTTCAAGCATGTAGTATTAATTTACGAAAAAGAGAAATTTTCTTTCTGTGGAGTTTAAGAAACTTAAAAAATATGACGATGATTGATCATAACAACCGTTAAACGTAGCAACTATGTGAGATACCACCGCTCCGACCTAATGGATGCTAACTTTGTACGTTTAGCCGCCAAAAACTTATTGAGGCCAAACACCCCTTGGTCGTCCTTTTGTTCCAGCAGATCTGTGTCATGTGTTTCTGGGGCTCCAAGGCACCCCCTAGTGGGCCAGCAGAGAAACTGCGTCACGTCCTTACAGTTACTAATAACCGAAAAACAGAAAAAAACCTCCAGCAAACCAGATGAACTCTGTTCTATAAAATTATAAATATATGTATAGACGTTGCAGAAACCTATGGACCTGAGACGTGAGGAAAAATGAAAGTACGCTGGTACTGCACAGCGAGGACGGACTTTAGGATTTTCAACGTCGGAACAGTTTCACCACCCCAGATCCCCAGACCCCCACCCCTCTCATGAACAGTGTGGCTGATGCAATGCCTTGCTGCAAGACTCGGCCACTTTGGTTTGCTCTTTTTTTTTTTTCCTTTTTTTTTCTCTGGAGAAATGAGAGACATTTTAAGGAAATTGATTCTTGCTGGAGTTCCACTGTGGAGAGAGATACCTTGAAGCTGAACAAGCGGCTGTGTCTTTCGCCCTCTCTCTCTAGCCTGACTGGACTGATGGCAGCCAATGGGCAAAAAGCAAACTTTGTGGGAAGAGCACACACATTTCAAAAGGTGAACGCCAGTTCCCTGGAAGATGTACAACAGAACTCTAGTATTCCAATTTTCTCAACTCTATTAAAAAAAGAAAACTGTATCATGAAAAGAAAAGAAAATCCTGAAAAAAGTTTGTGAAATGTCTAAATATTTGACTCTCATCCCATTACTAAGAGAAATGTGTTTTCCCTACTATCATTCCTGTTTGGAGAAAAAATGACCATATGATTCTGGGAAATTGAAATTTCTATGTATTTTCTTTTGGTAATCGAGCAAATGTGATTTGGGTTATGAACATGGAATCACCCTTATTCTTTTCCAGTGGGGAAGGGGTTCCTCTCCTTTTAATCCATTCTCCATCTGTCATCCTTAATTCGTTTTTTGTCCTGCATCTATTCCTTTTTCTCTGTATGGCAGATCGTATGTCACATACCCTGTGGAGAAAGCAGATTCTCCATGGGTTTTTTTTTTTTTAATTTGTTTTGTATCTCTTCTTGTCTGGAGACAAGATGGCCACCCTTTCATTTAACAGGCTCCATCCATTGACCCTTCTGCCACGTTTGTCTGGTTTCTCTCTTTCTCCATTCCAAACATACTCCTCCCAGTATCTTCCTGTTCTTTCTAAATGTTATTGTAAAGTGTTCCAGTGAGATGACTCTAAATATGTGTACATTAACAGAGGGAATACACTTGGTTATATACTTCTTACTCCCTGTGTCGCGTCGTCTCTTTGTCTATCAGTCTGATCTGATTGTAGAGATTGGAAAATTATTGAAATGGCACTTTTATGTATTACTGACTTTAGTGCCCCCTACTGACAAGTAAGTAAAACAACTTGGGCTGAAATTAAATAACATCCATGGCTAAAACAGGGCTAGTGTTGAACTAGATATATACTGAGGCAAATTCATAAATAATACTTAAACTTAGAAGACACAATTTTGTACACAGTAGCTCAAAGGCAGGGTTGGTCATTTTCGAAAACTAGCATGATTTTAAAAGTAGCATTCCCTCTGTGCTCCCTCAAAAGCCACGCCCCTCACTTACATGCACGAGCACCATTGGTCCAGAAGTGGACCTCAGCTTGCATCATGTAGAAACTTTGTTGTCTTACGTCTCATTCAGCGGTAAGTAAATACTAAATGTTATCATAATACACATTTTAAAAAATGTGACACAGCCAATTACAAACTCTCAGTATAGACTCCGTCATCTGTGACGCGCTTTGAGTGTGGGCTAGAGCACACAAGGGGTAGAGAACGAGCAGGGAGACAGGGAGGCTCTGATTGGTTCATCAGATTGGTACCTCGTGGCAGACATTGGTCAGAGTTTTTACAGACTTACAACTGATACAGATGAAGGATTTTCTTCATTCCTTTTTCAGAGCACATGAATTTCTGTCAGGACCTAAAGACACTTTCAGCCAGAATCTTAAAAAGTGCATTGGGAGAAAGTTACCAACCCTACCTGTAAATGCTTAATTTTTCATTATCTTCCTTAACTCAACTTCAGCAGCCTCAGTTTAGAAAGAGTTTAAATTTGACCAGTGGTAATAGAAAAGTAAAAAGGGCTATTTTGAGCTCATTGTAGACTTCTAAATGATTGCAGAAAGGAACTGAATCTTTGCATCAACAAAAATGTGTTCTAGTTAATAGACATCAGATTTCAGAATCATATAGCCATCATTTTTCAAAAAAATAAAGTTAGCAAGCTTTGGGACTCCCTAAAAACAATATATTTTCACAAGCAGGGATTGGTTTGGCATGTCCCAGCAGTGATCCTTCCACAAACTGTTATTTCCACAGCCCTTTCTCTCTAACCCAGTGGGCAGCTTTGTTCCTGTGAAATAATATTTTGGCTCACACTAAAGACCCTGACACACCAAGCAGACGGCAAGTAGTGGCCACAAAGGCCCTTGAAAACTACAGCCGACAGCCAACCACCACGTACGTGGCAGCAGACAGTGGTAGTCCACCGTTATGATACGAGAAGACAATTTTTCACACCGCTGTCGCTCACCACTCGTATTATAGGTAGACTACTAATGTCTGATAAAAAGTAGAAAATGGCGCTGGTGTTGTCAGCCCTTGTTCTTTAGTGGAAAAAGAAAAGAAGAGGAGGAGGAGACAAATAAGGAGAAACTGCTCTAATGGGTGAAAGCATGGATACTACAGCAGCATGCTCAAGGGGCTTTACAGAACCTGAGAGGAGAGCTGGAGAGAAATAAAACCACCCAACAGCCAATCAGAGAGACTCCTTTCACAAACCAGGCCGACCCAGACGGACGGGTAGCGCAAAAACTAGGGCGACAATCGCTAACTGTTGGTCCATGATCTCCTTGGTGTGTTAGAGTCTTAAACCTCGCTGTCACATATATACATTAAAACCAGAATACAGACCCTACTGAGTAGGTTTTTGCTGCCAGGCATAATTAAGCCTCGATGTTAATACTTTTAAGCACAACTTAGTTGGATATTGCATGGTTGATGTATGCCTATTGAAGTGTTTTTACTACCACTTACCAGAACAGAAGAGTCTGGATCAGCCTCAGCACGAGTACTGATGAAGAAGACATCTCTTGTCCCTGTGAAATGAACACTAAGATGTAGTAAAAGCATCAACACAACTTACCTGCTTACTGTCAGCCCAACAGATTATTAAAATCAGATAAAAAAAGACTTCTCCTTTTCATGAAGAGTTTTAGTTAAGACACAAAAACAACATGCAGGATTATCATGACAGTCTCTTTCACAACTCTAAAAAGGAAACTACATCTTCACACAGTGAAGACAAATCATTACAAGCAGCCAATCAGTTCTGTAGTTATGGTTTTTAAAACATGTGAAAGCCTTTAAAAAGTGTGATCTAACAACTGAAGTGCACTCGACGCCTCTCCAATCAAGAACAGCATGTGGCCTCACTCCTCTGAAACATTGACAGTCAGTGACCAAGGTAAGTGCACTTACACTGTAGTGGTGATTTACTCCAAACGTTACAGCTTTCAGACTGCAAATATTTGATCATTTAAATTGTGAGTCTTACATGCAAATTAATCTCGATAACAATAAATGCATGATGGGCTTTTTTACATAACTTTCACCTTGATAGAAGTTTGTTTGCATTGTTGTGCGACTTTTAAAGGGTTCACCTGGATAAAACACTGTAGCACATACAGTACTGTACAAACCTGTCCAGGCAGTGTGGTGGCTATATTAGCTGAAGCAATCTAAGCCAACATTTCCAAAACCTTGTCTCCATAAACAGCCTGGATCTCTGCATTTGAGGCAAAGAAAGGTCATACTTTGAGAATGTGTGCTACTTGTAGATACCTACTTGACCAGGATGAATATGAGAGGGAAATGGGTCATGCTTACTGAACTGAATAGTTGTGTTAGGGGACTCTGGCCTGTGTCCACTGAGCGTTTTTCTCTGAGCTCCAGCGTCTTTTTTCAATTATTTTCAATGGGTAGAGCGTGTTTGTAGCAGCAGACGGCCGCCTGGAGAAAAAGCACAGCGCCCAACTTCTTTTTTCCCATTGCTCTTCTCAAGTTGAAAATTGTTCAACTTTTCAGAAAGGCGCTGTTGACCTCACCTGCGCTCTTTTCCAAATGTATGATAGTCCCTGTAGTTTTACCAAGCGCACAGCCAGCGCTCTTCTGCCCGAAAAATACGTTAGATGGACACATGGCCAAAGACAGGCTGAACATTTTACCTAATTCGATTTTGATTGTCAGCACCTTACAACATTTGATGTTACTGATGTTTGATGTTTTCTTCAAGCTGATGCAGAATGTGAAGTGGATCACACATGTACATCAGTGTCTCATGGCCCTGGATCACACAGAGAGAGAGAGAGAGTATTGTTGATTAGCTAGCTAGGATTTGGTTTAGCTCAGCATTTCCATTTTCAGAAGACGAGTTCATCATACCATAGTTCAAAGATAACCAAGATGCCACATATTGGATTGTGATGTCGGCAACATAGTCGACTAAAATCACGTCATTAACCCAGACAGCACTTAAGCCGTTTCAACACATGTTAAAGAAAATATCTAGATCATTTCACATATGCTCCTCGCAGACAGGAGGGAGGGCATCCTGACGTAGAAAGAACAACAAGGAAGTAGCGCATGAAGCAACAGAGATCGCTATACGATGCTATAATGAGAATAATTGTCTTTATATCAAGAGAATGCAGTGTGCAGCAGTCACAGTATATAAACGTCACTCCCGCCTCCTATTGGCTCGAGGTGAATTCTCCGGAGAATATCCTGCTCAATATCAGCTCACTCGAACTTTCTAATGAAATCAAAATTGTAGGGGTCTGACCAGGCGCGGAGCCTATGGGTCATTGCAGAGGGGGCAGGGACCAATAGTGGGCCCTTAAACTGTCTATAGGCTATATAGCATATGCTGTAGCCTATATAGTAATATAGTATAGCATTTATGGTTAGTCTAATATCGGCTGTATGGAGATACAAGACGGGGCGGGGCGAAGAGAAATGCCGCTGCAGATTACAAAGGTGTTATTACAGTGACAGGGACTTATCAGTGAGTGACCTGCTGATGTTTAAGCAGAACAAGTGCTGATATGTCTGTGCGCATATTCCACCAATTAAACAAGTAAAGCAGACTTCATTAGCCGGACAGGAAACCAAAGATAGAAGGCAACTACAGTTTAACATTCAGTGAAGTTGGACGCTCATCCAGCCACACAGACAATACAATAAAACCACACATTATCAACCCACGCACCACAACAAACTTTGTAAACCGTGTGACAGCAATGGCCTGCCGTTCATACAGTACGATAACCAAGCAGACACGGCGGTCTACAACACATGCACCCACAAACAAAAGACCAGCATCTCAGCGTAATCTCAAATCATGATGAAACAACTTACCAATTAAGTTTTCATCAACACTGTTGCTTTCCTGCAGCCAGCTGGGTGCTCCTCCTAACATGTTTATTTGCTTGGCTCGTTTACGTTAGTGGAGCGAGCAACAGGAGGAGACTCACCAGGTTGAGTTGTTGAGGGTTGAGTTGTCAATGAGAAAACATTTTTCATTTAGTTTTTTACACTTTTAATGTTACGAAAAACTGCGAGGTAAACAGAAATAAAGCAGACAGACGACTAGGTTTTTAAAACTCCAGACAGCAGCAGGGGCCCAGCAAAGGGGGTGCTAAGAGGTGGAATCAATGACATTACAAACAGGCCACAGCACCCTGCTGGTGCTGTTTGCTGCCAAAGTTGAGAACCCCCTTGGCAGTGGAGGGGAGCCCCTCTCTACTCTACAAAATACATTGTGTGTCTTGATTGCGGCAAAAGAAAACGAGAGACTCAGACCTAGTCAAACTAACTTTATTCGAAAATTCAATTAAATAACAAAATGTATGTTGAATTTGGCTCAAAGTGGGCCCCTTGAGACAACAGTGGGCCCTTGAGACAACAGTGGGCCCTTGAGACAACAGTGAGCCCGGGGCGGCCGCACCTTCTGCCCCAACACTCGCTCCGCTACTGGGTCTGACAGGAGAAACGCTGGGTGAAGTCCGAGTGGAAAATTTGTCTGTTTGCGTTCACACATACAGCTCCTCCAGTAAATATCAGGGGTTTTTCAGGAGTTTTCTGCAAGTGTGAAAGGAAGTAATAATGATAAATGATAAATGATAATGATAATTCAAATCAAAAAAATAGAGAAGAAATCCA